GTGAAATAATTTATATCTCAGAGAAACCACAGACTTACATATCCAAGTTCAAACCCCACCACACCTAACACAGGCAAAGTCTACTGAGATCATCTGACTATCTCATCTAGAAATCCTTTAGGCCCGCTTAAGCTTCAAATTCAAATAGATCACCATGGTATATACCATTTCATTGAGGGAAGAGAGATATTAATAAATATATTTCTCTTCCTAACATTGTACCTACACTCTTCCAAATTCCCCAAAGCCTATTCCACGGTCATTTGCTAGAAATTAGGTTGTTCTTACTTCCTGTTCCTCTGGTAATAAAAGATCCCAGGACTCTCAATTTAATCAAGGCCCTTCTATAAAGTATTCAAACTGTAAATTCTCTATGCCTCCAGCCTCTTCTCTACTATGAGTCCACAGACATGCAAGGAATTTCTGGGAACTAACAAAATTTCTGAACGCTACGATTAAAAGTCCCAAAGAAAAAACAAAATAGCAGTAAATTCAGAAGAGAAATTCATGTGCTATGTACCTGTACAATCAGTTGCTGTATTCATTAACCAGCTGGATACAAAAGTGAGGACTTGAGGTTGTAAAATTGGGCCATCCGTGTAGCGTAGTGATTAAGGGAGCCAGAATCCACATGGCCAAGTGCAGTCTGAATGACAGCCCCAGCGGCTTGAAAAACATACCAGGTGTATGTGTGTGCATGCCCCCAAATCCCAGCAGGACGGATGGAGCACTGGAGGATAAAGGATGTAATGTGACCATGTGCCACTGCAGGGTACTTTCCCTTTCATCCCCTTGGTCACTACACATGCCCTCTGGTAATTAAAAAAATAGATAAATAAAATAAAATTGAGTAACATCATGAAAGGAAATAGCTGGTTAACAAATAAATACAATATTGCCACCGAACAATATGGAATGCACAGTAATAGGAATACTCAAGCATTTAACTAAAGAAAGGCAAAGTATATCTTTGAACTGTCTCCTGTACTTTGAACAATACAACAGGCATCTGTCCCACAAATATTTGCTAAGTACCTAGTATATGATGCACTATGTTCCAAACATCTGCAATTGCGAAACAGCAGTTCACAGACCAGTCTCGACCGGGATGATGAGAGAAGAGAGGATTCAGGGCAAATCCAAGGTTATGAGTCACTAAATCACAGCACTTTTTACAGGCTGAATATGGTTTTTATTTGAGTGTTCTTTGCATGCACTTTGTGGTACAGAAGACACTACAGCAGTACAACTGGATTTTCTGCTTAGGAATCACAGCAAGTGCCCAGGTTTCTGAGTTTTATTGACTAGTAGAAGAATCAAAGAAAAGATTTTTTTTTTTTTGCCAAGAACATTAAAAAACAAAACAAAACAAAACTGCCTAGCTTATGGCCATCAATTTGTATACAAGTATTTTAAGAATAAATGGCATGTCAGAACAAGTTTTACTCTAAGAAAACACTATTTTTACTCATTTTACTGTATGTGAGTGAAAAATCCCTAACATACCAATATTTCTTAATAGAAAAAAAATCAAAAAAAAAATTTTTTTTTTTTTTTTTTGCCAAGAACATTAAAAAACAAAACAAAACAAAACTGCCTAGCTTATGGCCATCAATTTGTATACAAGTATTTTAAGAATAAATGGCATGTCAGAACAAGTTTTACTCTAAGAAAACACTATTTTTACTCATTTTACTGTATGTGAGTGAAAAATCCCTAACATACCAATATTTCAGGATAAAATATCAAATAAAAAGAGCACAGACTTTAGAATCTGTGAGGGCTGGTTTCAGGTTATATGACTACAGGTTAAGTCACTTTACTACTGTGAGCGTATTATCTCAGAGGTTATGTAAGGACTAAGCATGACTGCACGTAAAATGAGTAGCACTAGTGCCTAGAATCAAGTGCCCAGAAGGTGCTCGACAAACAACTTTCACTATTTGGTGGGGGCGGGGGAGGGGAGGAGCAGGTGGTGTGGTGGTTGAGGTGCTGGACTCCCACACAGCTGACCACAGTTCGAGTCCCAGACCTGGCGGCTTGCTTTTTTACTTTCCCCCTCTCTCTGGTGCATTGTAATAATAATAATAATAATTAAATACTTATTAAAAGTAAATACATAAATAAAATAAATGTGGGACTTCCACTTCTGGTTACGCAGCACTAAACTAGTCCTTCTACTGTAAACGACCACACAACTAAATGAAATGCAGAAGGGCACTACCTTCAGGCACTGGACAATGGCGGTACAAGGCCACAATGACTGAGAGAAGGAATTCATGAGGGCTGGGCCCGCATAAGTCAATTTCTGAGAATGATGAGAACCGAGTTTCTTCCTGTCAAAGCGGGGAGTTATAAATATGCAAAGGAGAAAACTAGAAGGAACCCTGTCCTTGGACTGAAGATGGAGATACCACTGTAAACACACAGTTTTTAGTAAGGGTTAGGTCATGGGGAAAGTTATGACATTATTTTTCTATGCAAAAATGAGTCACGACTTTCCCAATAACCCAGGATTTCAATACTGTTCTAGAGTTGCACATAAAATAAACGCAGATCTACTGAGAGGACATGGGAGTAGTGACAGTCCTATGGCAATAAGCGGACCTACCACCTTATTTCTAAACACCATTCTCCCTTAAAAGGAGCTGGGCTCCTTGGCAAAAAGGTCTAGAGCAGGGAAAAGCCCAAGATGTGCCTGAGACATCTCACTGTGCCAGAAAGAAAGGAAGTACTTAGAGAATGATAGGGACATGAACAACAAGGAGAACTTGAAAGGACAACATCTGGGGGCCAAATCCAGGACAATTTGAGCACAGGACTATCGGGACTCCACAAATAAGTACTGATAAAAATTAATAAAAGTATGGTAAGAAAGAAGATATTTAACAGTCTCAGAGTTCTTCCTATAAATACTTATTTATATAAATATTTATTGACTACATAGGGAAAAAGAGTAACTTCTCAGTCACTAGGTCTTGCAGACATCCCTTACTCAAACGTTTTAACATCACACCAGTTACAAAATAAGTCAAAATCATGCACCACAAGATAGGGTCGAAATATGATTTTCCTAGTACTTCTGTCAAAGATGCCTCTTTAATCTAACCATGAAGGTCAGACAAACCTGAATAGAAAAGCATTTATAAAATAACTAGTTTATAATCTTAAAGTGTCAAGATCATGAAAATCAAAGAAAAACTGAGGAAATATTCCAGACTAAAGATTAAAAGACACAACACACAAATGCGTAATTTGGAATTAGATACTTTTGGTACAAAGGATATTATTGGAACAACGGGACCTCAGTTTCCTTTCTTGTAAATCATGAGGCTGAAAAACATCTATTGCTCTAAACATCAATAAATACTGAAAGAAGTTTTTGTAATAACAAACAAAAAACTAGATCTAACAGTCTTTCAATGTTAAAAATGATCTCTGTTGGTATTCTAACCATGCTGATCAAGAAAATCTACTAGAGACACCTAAAGGCTGTCAATTAGCTTATTAAAGTTAAATATTAATGTTTTAATCTTAGAGAGCAGAGTTTATAGTTTTAGTAGACATGAAAAATTTTTTAAATTATTTAATTCCATTTGTTGTTGTTATTTATTTATTTTTTTAATTTGACTAGAGACAGAGACAGAGAGAAAGGGAAAGTAGGAGAGCAAGTAGCCAGGTCCAGGACTCGAATCATGATCGGCCATGTGAGAATCCAACACCTCTAACCACCTCACCACCTGCCAGACCTCAGACATGAAAAAGTTTTAAAGGAAAAAAACAGTTGAAGGACCAGCAGTTGGCATAATGGCTATGTTGCTGGATTCCCATGTAGTTGACCATGGTTTGAGTCCCGGACCCGGTGGCTTAAACTCACGCTGGGTGCCTGTGCGTGCATGCCCAAGATCCCGAGAAGAGAATGGAGGAGAAGGGATTACGACATGGCCATCCCCCTAGGGGTGATTTCTCACTTTCTGTCTCTTTGTCTTTCTGGTGAGCACACACGCCCTATAGCAAAATTCTCTCAAAGAAAAAAAAAATTAAAAAAAAATAAAAAAAAACAAAAACAAAACCAGTTGAACAGTGCCTCTATCAGTAATCTAGCTGCACAATGAAATATTATCTAGCTATATAAGCTGATATAAAAATATGTCAAGTTTTTGTTAGATATATAGAGAAAAATCTAGCAGAGTAGATGTAACATATTGCTTTTGTATGTATGTGTGAATGCACGTATGTTTAAGATGGCCATATATATGGGCCTATATAAGTATACAAAATTTGGAAGTATTCTGGAAAGACACTTAAGAAAACGTTAGCAATAATCAGTTCTAGGAAACAGAAATGGACAGTCAAAAAAAGGTCAGGGAACTTCATTCTCCATCTTTTACCTTTGTATACTTAATTTTCATGAGAAATTTTTTTAAAAAATAAAAATCAAGTGATAAGTACATACAGTACATAGATCTTGGTTTCTAACTACCATTCCCAACTAAAAGGAAAATCCTTGGAGAAATGGCTGATTCTATATATGAGTTGGAATAAATCCAAAGTGAACCGTGAACACCTTGTGCCAGAAAAGAAAGCACCCAAAAATGAATGAAGGCAGGTGAAAAGGACAAAGAAGCTACTGTGATGGGGTTCCCATCAGCCAGATTTGGGACAACGTGAACATCGAAACAGATCGCTGTAACTAAATGCAAGAAAGTGATTATTACAACAGTCAAGACAGCCATATATTATGAGGGAGGAAGGCCCACAGTGGGATTATGGACTACTGGTGACTGTATTGGTCTATTTCTCAACCTGTAAAATAATCACATAAATGTTTGTTTTATAATATTAATTAAACCATATATATTTGGATATGTATTTGTGGTACAGACTTATTAATCCACAGAATGTATTTCATAATTTTAGAACAAAATTTTAAGGTTTACAGAAAAAAAGAGGTCAAGTAAAAACAGGAACCTTTTAGAGAGAAAGCCATGATATTTTACCTGCAGGAGTATGTAGGCTCTCCTACTTTAAAAACACGACCACAAAGATGAGAAGGTTTGTTTGCTTGTTCAAGTTTTGGAAATCCAAACGTAGGGTCTTCACCACAGAGGTACCATTCCATTGGTCCCAACAAAACATGCTGTGCCAACATGTCCTCTTTCTGCGGGAAAGGGTTGGGACCCCTGCAGTAGATTTTGGGTACATAGTGGGCTAGATGTTGGTACACTTCTCTAGTGAGGTCCGTTGCTTGCAGCCATTTCTTTAAAAAAGAAAAAAAAGATGATAAAAGTTATAAACATGCTAATAAACTGCTAATTTGAATAAATCATTATGTAAGAGGCTGGCCAATGAGTCACGTTACTTTTTAGTGCTTTGGTCAAATGTTTATCTGATTCTGATGTGACTTCTCACGTTGGTTTGCCTACAGGAAAACCATGCCGTGAACACGAATAGCCAGTGGGTAATAAACAAATTTATATACCAGTCCCCAACTATGCCTTCCTTCCTTGATTAACCTCTAGTTTAAGCCTTTCCTTCCCTTTCACTCCCCACTAAAAGCAAAATGAAAGCCACTCTCTCCATCCCCCAAAGCTGAACACATGATTGCTCCCTTTCTTACCTCTCCCAACCAAAATCTGTTATTCTGCCTCCTTATTTTAGTTTTTACCTGGGCATCTGAAAAACCTGAAAAATTTTCCTCCTTCCTCACCTCAACACCAAATCAGTCATGTTTTGTCTGCTAAGTTTCCTAATATCTCTTGAACCCATTCATTTCTTTCTCCACAGCAGGTACCTCCCCTAACCCTACCCCAAACCCCTCTCCTGTGTTACCAGGATTACTGCAACAATGTCCTAAATGGTGTCCCTGCTAGTCTTGCCCCTCTACGATCCACTTTCCAACTTCACTACCAGAGTGACTCACACAAATGCCAAATGGTCATGCTATTAGGCTTCCCACTTCATATAGGATCTAGTTAGTCTCCTGACATGGTTTACAAGGCCCATTCATTATCTTTCCTGGACTCTCCAATCTTCTCCTGGCCTGTATTACTCCTCTCTCTCTGCTTTACAAAGCTATTTTCTACTCACTCTTCAGATCTCAATTTATATGTCACATTCTCTGAGATGCCTTCTCAGCCCGTTCGTTCCCCACTCCTACATTCCCAGGTCTAAAACTGAACCTGGCCTCCAAGCATTTTGTAAATCTGTTAAATGAATGAATACAACTTTGCTTATACCAAATACTGCCACATAACACTGACTCAAGAAAGATGCATGGGTCAGATATCAGTGTCTGTAAGGCACCCTTTGAACCACCTCCTTTCATTTCCTTTTCTATTTCCTTAAGCCTTAAGTCTTTCCACTCTACCATTTAACCTTGCCTCCTCTGCCAACTCTGTGCACGTTTAATTGCCCTCCATACTGCTTTGTGTAACTGTAAGTCAGTGGGGCTGGAAGCCAAGTAAAACTTTTAAATTCAGAAAACATGAAATAAAATGATTCACTTCTACTAAACGCAGCTAAATGAACTGCTAACATAACTTACAGATCTGATGTTTACCTTTGGATTAAAACCTAAGTTCCAATTACATCCTTGTTAAGAAAGAGTATGCTCAAATGATGTCTTAGTACCATAAGCAGTCAATAGAAGGCCTTCATTTTTACTATTACTTGTACAGTCATGAACCTCCTTCCTTCCTTCTAGAAATAACAGAGAGAGAGTGACTTTAAATAGTCACAGGGTAGTACTACATTAACTTTCTGGTCAACTTCAGGTTTTCAGAGAACTTTTACTAAAAATGTAAACATTCTGTCCATAAGTTAAAGGACTGGATGGAAGTTTACAAAAAACAGTGGAAAAGTTTCAACTTTTCCAGTAGAACTCTATTTTTCAAACTTCGCTAACTTTATTGTTTCAAATAAGAAAGAGGTTACATTATTTTCGAAACAGCATCTTTTCTTGGGAGATAACCCCACAGGTTTTAGGAATTCTCTATCTTCAGAGTGGAAGTAGTAAGTAAAAACTTTATATACAGATGAACTCATTTAAGGTCAGTAATCATAAAAAGGACAAGTTTTTAAAAAAGTAGTCAATGGGACCAGCAAGTGACATAATGGTTATGTTGCTGGGCTCCCACATAGTTGATCACATTTTGAGTCCTGGACTTGGCTTAAAGAACTCACGCCAGGCACATGTGCATACATGCCCAAAATCCTGAGAGGAAAATGGAGGAGAAGGGATTGCGGCGTGACCATCCCCCCTGGGGGGTGATTTCTCACTTTCTGTCTCTCCAGTGACTGCATGTGCCCTATAGCAAAAATCTCTCTTAAAAAAACAAACAAACAAACAAAACAGTTAATAACAAACAAACTAGAATCTTCTTCTGTGTGCTGGAGGACATGTGTATAGGCTACATAAGAGGGAAAATGACGTTTTCCACCTATTGTCATCAAACCAAAATATAAATGTAGTCAAAGTATCTTAAGAAATTTAATTAATAAAAAACTAAGCAATTAATTAATAAAAAACTAAGCAATCAGATGGAAAAAATTCACCTCCCTAACTAGACGGTTAAGTGCCTCAGACAATTTTAACTTACTACACATTGAAAGGTTTTAATTAAAAAGCAATTTTGGAGGTTTTTTTTGTATGTTATGTTCCCATTTCTCCTAAAACTTCACTTTTAGAGAATTTTAACACAGGGAGAATAAAAAGTGATGCTTTCTAAAAGAAATTATGTAGGCTTGTGGCACCAGTAACAGATGGGTCAAATCTGTTCAACAGATTTTGTCAATAAAAAATTCAGAAGCTATTATCAGCTGCTGGTTAAGAAAAAAAAATCAGTCAATTTATATAAAACATATTAATGTAAAACAAGTATTTCATTCTAAATATAATTTTATTATATACTATTAATGTTTCAAATTGTTAACAAGACTTAAAAATCTGGTTCAAGAAACGCATGCATACGTTCCTAATCTTTAAAATTTTACTACCATTATGTGACAAAGTCAAAACTAATAGATTTGGGCTCTATTCCAGGAACTTTAATCTGATTGAATTTATACAATATATAAAGCAAGAAGAATTTATGACTGCCTTTCAGAACAATGGCTTACACATTTCTGAAAAGAAAATCCACAGCTTTTCATATTTTCATATTTCATAACTGCAACTGTTTCTTCAACGTGAAAAAGTACAGAGATTTCTAGTTTGGCTGCATTTTAACCTGTCCTTATTTCAGACACTTACACTGTCCCACCCCTGTGCATAAGAGAGTAATAAACATTCACTATCTTATTAGGAACTCCCCATTAGGGAAGTAAAGAAACTGTCAACTCATTCCACTAAAGTAAACATGTTATGACAATGTTTCCAGGAGCTTTCCTTTTATTAAATGCTAAATCTATGCCCTGCAATAGAGAACAAGTACAATAAATACAAAATGAAAGAATCCCTAGAGGCTAGCCTTTTATTACAGTATCTAATTACTATTCTATACCCAATTAAAATTGTATCCTTTAACCATGTTTGGCCTTGCTTTTAAACAAGGATAAGCAACATGTAAGTTAATCATAAAACAATAATCACTAGTGCTCAAATAGAATTCTTGGGAATACAGAGGGGATCTCAAGAAGTTCATGGCAAATGGGACTAAACTAAGAGTTTACTTTGATGACAAAAAATTGGAATCCATGTACAGTTTTTTCATAGTATGTATTTTCCATGAACTTTTTGAAAGCCCCTTATAAGTATGGACAATTTTAAACAAATTATGGTTGACCTTTAAACAAATTATGGTTGACCTCTGAACAAGCCAGGGGTTGAGGGTGCCAGCCCCTGTCACTCAAAGGTCCTTGTATAAACCTTACTGATAACAGCTGATTAACATGTATTTTGTGTACTTATTATATAATGTATTCTTACAATAAAGTGAGATAAAAATGTTATTAAGAAAGTCATAAAGAATATACATTCACAGTATTGTATTTCTTTCTTTTCTTTTCTTTTCTTTTTTTTTTTTTGGAGAGGTTTTATAGGGCACGTGCACTCGCCAGACAGACAGAGACAGAGAGACAGAAAGCGAGCAATCACCCCCCAGGGGGGATGGCCACGCCGCAATCCCTTCTCCTCCATTCTCCTCTCAGGATCTTGGGCATGCATGCACACGCGCCCGGCGTGAGTTTAAGCCGCCAGGTCCAGGACTCGAACCGCGGTCGACTACGTGGGAGTCCAGCGACATAGCCATTACTCTAACTGCTGGTCCCAGTATTGTATTTCTTGATACTTCAAGTTTACATCATCTATTTATAAGATGAATGGATGGTCTGTTAGTACTACATTGATACTGTCTTAGATGATACTGTAGATGCTATACATATTAATAACGCTTGACATCAAATATAAAAATATAATGTGAAAAAGGAATTAATATTTTTTCAAGTTGTCGCAAATGGTCAAAAAAATGTCCAATATATTTATTGAAAAAAATCAGCTCAAAGTAGACTCACACAATTCAAACCTGCATTGAGAGTCAACGGTATACTAAGAACTTTACAAAGTAAGGAGTGCATTTACAAATAAAAAGAACACAGGAACTCAATAATAAAAGACAAAAAGCCTAACTGAAAAATGGCAAAGAGGAGACACATATAGCCAATAAGCTCATGAAAAATTAAAAATGTTCAATATCATGAGTCACGAAGGAAATGCAAGTGAAAAAAACCACATGAAAAAGCTCTTCACACCCCACCAGAATGGCTATCATCAAGAACACAGACAGAAACAAGTACTGGCAAAGATGTGGAGAAACTGGAACCCTCACACGCTGTTGATGGGAGCATCAAATGGTGCAGCTGCTTTGGAAAACAATGTGACAGTTCCTCAAAAGAGTTGTTACCGTATTATTCGGTAATTACACACATAGGTATATATACAAGAGAACAACAAAAATGGACATCCAAACAAAAAATTGTACACAAACACTCACAGCAACATGGTTCACAAGATCCAAAAGTGGAAACAACTCAAATATCCATCAACTGATGAACAAATAAATAAAATGTAGAATATCAATACAATGGAATAGCACTGGGCAATAGAAAAGAATGAAGTATTGATACATGCTACACAATATGAGCGAACCTTGAAAACATGCTAATAGAAAGAAGCCAATCACAAAAGACAATACATTATATGATTCTATTTACATAAAATGTGTAGAATAGGCAAATCTGTGGACACAGATAGTAGTCGTAGAGATTAAGAGTTTAGGTGAGACTGGGGAGTGGCTGCTAATGGGTACAGGACCTCCCTTCAGCGGTGATAAAAATGTCCTAACATTGACTGGGGTGGCGCTTGTACAAATCTGTGAATTAACTAAAGCCACTGAATTGAATTCTATACTATGTAAGTTATATCCCAATCAAACTACTAAAAAACTTAGCCTAGCCAAAGTGGTGCAGGTGACAGGGAGCCACTGTGTGGTGACGGAGCCACGTAAAGGCCTGGGTTTGGATCCTTGTTCAATCTGAACACGCCAAACATGCCTGCATATGCCTGTGACCTTGGCTGCTGAGATCGTGGCATGGCAAGACACTGTCAAGGGTATGTCTCTCTCTCCTTCTCTCTCATGAAATAAACTTTAAAAAAATGTAAAGCAAAAATGAGCCAATAGACATAAATATATAAATCTTCTATAATGATTTGTATTTATTTTATGCTTGGAGAAAAGCAATATATGTACTTCTTAAATCATAATTACCTACTGAAAAATATTATAATCAATATCTAGCATGAAACAAGTGTCAGGAAAGTCGTATTTGTAGAATCAGTTTCACCAGGAAAAAGAGAACACTGAGAAGAGCAAGCTACTGCTACATCCTAAACTTACAATGATTAGAGTCAGCTTAAATGCTTTTACATATGAGGCATACTTGTTAAAACAGATGGTATTACAAAAAGTCCTTCCTCCTCCTAACAGAAATAAGAAAAGCTGTGTATAAATAAAGTGTGGTAAAGACAACACTAGTGCTCATTAGATAAATTTAAATGGAAGTTATCCTAAGAAATTATTAACAACAGAGGTCTTGAGGCCAGACAGTGGCACAGCAGTGACTCAAAGCTCTATAGCAGCAGTCCCCAACCTTTTTGGCGCCAGGAACCAGTTTCGTGGAAGATAATTTTTTCACTGGGGGGAGTAGTTTTGGGATGATCAAGTGCATTACATTTATTGTGTGCTTTATTTCTATTACTATTGCACTGTTATATATAATAACATACAAGTTACCACAATGCATTTACTATTGCACTGTAATATATAATAACATACAAGTTACCACAATGCAGAATCAGTAGAAGCCCTGAGCTTGTTTTCCTGCAATCCCCATTTGGGAGCTCCTATGCTGATCTGACAGGAGGCAGAGTTCAAGTGCTTAGGGAGAAATGGGGAGTGGCTATAAATACAGATCAAACTTCTCTCACTCTCCCACTACTCACCTCCTGCTGTGCACCCAGTTCTCAATAGGCCATGGACCAGATCATTTCATGGTCCAGGGGCTGGGGACCCCTGCTCTATAAGGCTTACCCACATGGGAAGATTCCAGGTTTGTGTTCTGAGAGCTCCCTGAACAAGCTGGGTGCATGAATACCCATGATCCAAGGCTGGACGAAGCTGGGGACAGATCACAGGATGAAGGCTCGCTCTCATTCAATGAAGAAATAAAAAAACAAAAACGTTTTTGGAGGGGAAAAGAAGCCACAGTATCTGTTTACTCACTTATCTTCTCTAAAATATACTTTCAACCTGAAAGAAGACCTTATTAATTCATTTTAACTTGTGATAAGGGGCTGTGCTGGAGACTAACTAAAAGAATGGCTTTAAGTGTTTGGTGTTTTAACTAAATACAGACAGTAAGTCCCTCATGAAGTAAGGCCAGACTAAGGTTATACAGTTAGAGAAAACTAATATTTTATTATCAATTGGCATTTTCTTTATTCACAGAAATTTTTAGGGCATTCACATTAAAACATTTTTTTCTTATTGTTCAGAATGCCATTTAAAGTAAACAGCAAAAGTAAAATGTAGCTTAGACTGTGATTGTCACAAATTCAAATCAAGTCCAAATTAATAACGTTTTGTTGCATTTCCTTTCATTTTTCTTACTCAAGAATTTCACAGGACAAGAGCTAGGAGCATCGGCTTCCAGCACTGATTTTATAACTGGTATCCTCCGGAACATAAATAAATTTGAGCTCTAATCTCTTGAGAGTTTGCACATTTTTGAATAGGGATAACAGAATAAGTAGCCTATGTCACTAGGTCAACAGATACAAAATTCAGTGTCTGAGATTGAGACTATTTAAGACTAGGTATTAATTTGAAAGAGATAGAGATAGTGAATAGCTACCATTACCTTTATTCTACTGCTTATTAGTAACACTACTTTTCATTTCCTTTCTCAAATCTCTGATAAATCAAAGGCAGATGGAGGCTAAAAATCCTACGACTGTGCAATACTAACTAGGAAGCAAATGAAATCGGGTTAAAAGAAAACACAGAACAAAAAAGCAAAAATGCATACCTCAATATATTTCTTTAAACTTTTCAACCTCTACTCCAGTCATTTACTACCAACTAGATGTCCAACCAACTCACTCAAAATAACTATTCACTAATAGTCTACTGTGCCCTCCCTCCACTCCAAATTTTGTTTATAACATTCAAACTGCTGACTTGTATTCAAGGGTCACTCTCTTCCCAGTAGTTTTTTAGGTTGGAGACCATGGGGTGAGGTGGGGCTCAAGTTGTTTTGGTCCATTCATAACCACTCTAAAAAATCTATTCTAAACTAGCGTTCTCTATCCTTATCCGGGAAGGATGTCACTGAGTTTACAACTCTGGTACTTAAACCAGCAGACTCATGTTACAGTTTTAGTACGATATCAGGTTTAAATGGTTTAAGTTTGGGACACAACTACTCCTATTTTGTTTGCCTCGACCAACTTTCACATTATTAGCTTATGTTTATTGAAAGTTGTTTTCTCAACGTTATATAACATTTATTCCCCACCCACTACCATCAGGTCTTAGGAAAAATACTTTTTTCATCTCCCAGAGACCACTACTGCGTTCTCATACTCAGTAAACTTGTCAAGACACTAGTCTGCACACATCACCAACGTTAACGACTAACCAAACTGGAGCGTAGGAAAAAAAAAACAAACACACACTGAAAAAGGAAAGGAAGGAAAGTGTCGTTAGCATCTTTGCTGCCTAGGGCAGTCCCTGATCAACCCGGCAGCGCTCGGTCGGCGGAGCTTGTCTCGGTGGAGCAGGCACCTCGCGTATCTGACTGAGGACGAGGAATCGGCAAGACAAAGTAGGACGATTATACCAAAAGAACTAGGAAGCGTCATCCAAGACCTGGCATAGACGGGAGACTCATGTGTTGGGAACTTACTGGGAGGATGGGGAAAAGGAGGAATATGGAAAAGCAGTGGGTTCGCCCAGGCATAATGGGAAGGGAATGCAAGGCACAACACAGGCCTGGAGGCTACCGAGGGCGAAAGCGAGGGGCAGGACTGGGGGCTTCTCCAGGCCGTTACCCGACAAGGCGAGACCGGCGCCGTTTCCCCACATTCCGGCCGGCGGCTCCGGAATATCGAGGGCCGGACGTACTTCCCGGGTCCCTGCACTCACCCCCGCGGTCTCCTCCACCGAACATTCCAGCAAACTGCGGTCGACGGCCTGCACCTCAGGCTCCAGCTCCGACGCCATCTTCTCTCGTCCGCCTCCTCGAGCTACCGCCGCCCCGAGGGCGGCAGCTTCGCCACGGCTCCGGCGGCTGCGACTGCTACCCCTGCCCCAGGCAGGCAGTCCAGAGCCGTCCAGACGGCCGCGGGTGGAGCAGGGTCGGGAACGGAGGGCAAGGAGTACCGGCCAGCAGGGAGGGCGGCCTCCTGCGCTCCCTCCCGGGCTCACAGCCCAAGAGTCAAGTCACCGCCTCGTCCCTGACCCGGGGAAGGACACAGACAACCCCAGGCCTGGCACTGTGGCTCGCCACTACCGCGTCCCGCACCGGGAAAGGAGCAATAACACCCAGGAAGGGAAGCAAGGCATCCTGGGTACTGTAGTCATGCCCCGCGTGGCCCGGAGGGAGATGACGCCCTATAGGGCGCGCCTCCGGGGCATTGTGGGAGTTGTAGTCCATCCTCTGCCGAGCGCTTAGGTAACTGGCCGATGATGAAGCGGGGTTTTCTTACACAACTGGAATTATGGGAAGAGAATAGTGGACAGAGCCAGTCCCCCTCCCCACCCCACGAGGTGGAAGAACAAAATGACGTGGGAATTGTGGTTTTATTCCCCCAATTCTATGTGTTCGTTTTAGTATCCACAGTTCCAAGAACAGTGCCTGGCACGAGGTAGAAGCGCAAGTACCTGTCCGAGTCTGGCTTACTGCGGGCACGGAAACACTTGTCAAAAGAATGCACGAATTAGCATTCTACTTCTGCGTTCCACCGCCTTGTGCGCCATCACCTTTGATCCCTTACACTTACGATGCGAACATTACCCAGGTTTTTGAAGATTTTAAAACATATTTTTAAAAATGTAAAGCGATTTCGTTAGGACCACTTATATTACAAATCTTCCTGAAAATGAAAACTATTACGCCAATTCAAAGATTTACTTTTTTGTGTGTTTGTTTGTTTTAGAGATTTTTGCTATAGGGCCCCTGCGCTTGCCAGAGAGACAGAAAGCAAGAGATTCCCCCCCCCCCCCAGGGTGGTTGGCCACTCTGCAATCCTTTCTCCATTCTCCTCTCAGGATCTTGGGCACCCACTCACACGTGCCCAGCGTGAGTTTTTAAGCCACCGAGTCCAGGACTCAAACCTAGGTCGACTACATGAGAGTCCAATGACGTAACCATTATGCTATCTGCTGATCCTGATTTACTTTTTTTTTGTTTGTTTTTTTGAGAGATTTTTGCTATAGGGTGCAAGTGCTGGCCAGAAAGACAGAGAGAGACAGAGAGACAGAAAGCGAGAAATCACCCCCAGGGGGGGATGGCCATGCCACAATCCCTTCTCCTCCACTCTCCTCTCTGGATTCTGGGCACACACAAACACGTGACTTTAAGCCACAGGGTCTGGGATTCGAATTTTGGTCCACCACATGGGAGTCCAGCGACATAGCCATTACTCCAACTTCTGGTACCCTGATTTACTTTTGATAGGGCCATTTGATAGAAATAATCATTGTTAGGGGACCAGCAGGTGGCATGGTGGTTAAGGTGCTGGACACTCTCACATGTCTGACCACGGTTCGAGTCCTGGACCTGGTGGCTTGCTTTCTCACTTTCCCTCTCTCTCTTTCTCTGTCTGTGTGTCTCTCTCTGGTCAAATAGAAATAAGTTAATGAATAAATAAAATTAACAAATTCTTTTTAAAAAAATGGAAATAATCATTGTTAGGAAACCACCCCCGTGTCCCCCCTCCTAAAGGTATTTAGATTTGACTGACTGTCTGGGCTTCTTAGAATAAGTCTTCAATTTCTTTAGAATTTATTAGAAAATTGTTTACACATTTTATCAAGTGTGCTACTTTATTCTTGGAAGGTAGTATGCATTATATATAGGGGGGAAAAAAGTTCTGACCAAACCAGAGTTTAGACATGTTTATGTTAATGTATGTTAATAATGGTATAATATTAACCAGATTTTTTGAAAAGGAAATAAAAAAGATCCATAAACCTCATAGTGTAATTAAGCCTTTAAAGCCTCACTTTAAAAAAATAAATATGTGTGAAATTAGAAATTTTTAAAAAAAGAACAGTAGGCCTAGCTATGGCTGTACAGGCGCTGGTGGTGGCAGGTCTGGGGTGGGAGGTGGGG